GCTTCTGAGACATAGTCGTTGTATCTTTGGGGACGAGACACCTGAATCTGTCAGCACACTATGGGGTGTATTCATCTTGCGGAAAGAGCAACCCTCACCTCGGCTGATTCTTTTTCAGCATCTACATTTTGCACTTTGTTCTTTTCTGATTTTTAGTTCAAGTTATACGAACTGAAAACACAATATTCATTTCATAGGTTACCCGTGTATTTTTGACACTCAGTTTGTGACAGAAGCGACTGAGAATTTTCTATTTTTTCCACAATCCCACACCAATCTATCTTCTCCATTGGGGTGAAGACCTTCAATACTAAGGATAACTTCACTCTCCTATTCTGGAAATCATTCTTTCACCAAAGCTTTATTCCAATGTCTCCCAGAGTTATCCATAAGGTTTTTAAGCCAAATCAAATCACTCTTTCCCTGAATCTTGGTTGAGGGTTTAAAGCCTGGCATTTTGGGTATCCATCCCAAATTTTAACTAAGCTGCCATCTTTGATTTCATATATGATTCCACCCTAAAAAGTATCTCTAACATTCATCCAAATATTCCACATCCATGAGCCATTTAGATTTTTCGTGGAAGAGAATAAGCTTTCATTTGGGAACTATTTTGCCCTGAGGATTTTGCTTACCAAAAGATTTGGCTTGGTGAGGATTCTCCATAACTGCTTAGCAATGAGTGCTTTAGTCATCAGATGAATATCATGGAAACCCAAGCCACCGTTGTCTTTTGGTAAAAAAAAAGATTCCAAGATCTCAAGTGAATGCTCTTCTTGCTAGGAGCTCCCTTACTCCACCGGAAGGTAGCAAACAACTGAGCACGTTTGTGACTAACTGATTTTGGGATGAGGAAAAATGACATGGTATAAATAGGGAGTGAACCAAGAAGTCACGCCAACATAGCCAGACCAAATAGATTATTCAAACTAGATATGAATTTTAATATTAAAAATACTTTATTACGATAATGTAATGTAGTCCAAACTCTAAATAATCATATTAATAATGCTTTTGTGACAACACATTCAATTATTTATGATAATTTATATATTGTTTTATTAATATTTATGTGAACAAAATGATATTATATTACAAATTTTATCAATGTACGGTAAATCCAAGGTTCTCAGAACCAGACCATCATCAAATCGATCAAGTTATTTGTTCAATGATTTATTGGCTTGTCCCAATTTAATTTACTATTTTTTTGAATATATATTGTACATTTTGTAATAAATTTACATAAAAATTAAAATTAAATATCTTAATAATTTAAAAATTATAAATGTTTTAAGTAATGATAAATAATTTATAATTCTCCATTTTTTAAATATGTATTTTTATTTATACTAAGAATAATATTAAATATAAAATTTTTTATTTAAAAAATCGTACCAATCCTACTAGTCTCATCGATTAGTGTTGACCGATTCGCTAGCAAATATTTTATTAATGCGAACCAGACTGACTAATAAACCAGTTCTGGGTCCTTCTGGTCAAACTGTAGGTGCTTTTCGATTTTGGATAAATCATGATTAATGTTATTCATGCATTTAATTTACATTACAATTATAATTTTATTTTTTCACGTTCATCGGACGTGCCACGTACTGGTAAATCAAATCAAAATTTGTTAAAAAGAATTAATTTGATATATTTTATATGAAAATATAATAAATAATAGTTATCAATTTTTAAAATATATATCGAAGTTCGTCAAAAGATAATTAATTCGGTATACATGAAAATTTAATAATAAGTATATATATTATTAATTTTAAAACATATTTATAAATTAAATTATTAAAGTGTTTTATATGATAAATGCCACGTGCGAGAAACTGAAAATTAACATATAGGAAACACGATGGGGAAAGATATAGATGAGCAAATCTCATTATAAGATCCAATTTTTTGTAATTGTATCAATTTAAAGTCTCAATTTATTCTTACTCAGTAGAAGGCTTACATTTTATGTTATTTCCAATTTAAAGCTCACTTTTTCGTTAACTTCTCATTGTAAGGCTCAATTAACTTTACTTTTTGACATAAATATGTGAACTATTTAAATTTATTTAATAATATATTTATGTTAAAAAAATTATTTTTTTATTTGTTTGAATATAAAAAATAAAAAATATCTTTAGTAAAATTTCCTTAATAAGAAAATGAAAGTATATAAATTACACTTATGCAAAAGTTCAATAATGATTATTTTTGAAAATAGATAAGTCAATATGCAATTAAAATATTATTTTTATGAATAATCTAAATATGTAATAAAATTAGTTAAATGTTATTTAGTTTTATTATATATTTATATTATCAATAAAATAATATTTTAATTAGATATTTTTCAAATTATCAATTTTTAAAAATAATAATTATTAAAATTTTGCATCATTATAATTTATATACTTTTATTTTCTTATTAATGAAAGTTTATTAAAGATATTTATTATTTTTTATTATAAGTACGTAAAATCTATACTTATATTAAAAGGTATACCATTTACCAGATTTAGTATAAAGAAAAGTCAACAACATTTATTGAATTACTATTTCCGTATTATAAAATCTATACTTATATAAAAGGAGGTTTTATTTATTACATTTACTATCCAGAAAAGTCAACTGCATTAAATGCCATTACTATTTTGATATTATAATATTTTATTTATTTATTTATTTTATTTTAAAAAGGTAAGTATAATAATAAGATTTTAATAATAAAAAAATCAAATACCAAATAAAAATGTACACTTTGACTTATTTGATTATATTTGGTATTTGATTATACCAAATATATTCCTATTTAGTATATACATTAAATACTTACTAAAGTATTTATTTGTTTTATTTGTCAAAGTTAAGTATAGATTTGTTTATATTATCAAATCATAAAAAAAATATTAAATCCATATTGTAAAAAAAAAATCATATAATTTTATAACAATTCTACTGCACTATTTAACAATATTTCTTTTTTATTATATAATAAAATAATAATTAAATATTATATGGTAAACAACAATAA